GGACTTCTCAAGTGCAGTTTACCCAAGCAATTTTCTGCCTGGTCAGGTTTAATGTGTTTCCTTGTTTATTCGTTGTCAGGCAAATGTTGATTTATATACATTTGATTTGCAAATGTAACTCATTATATTTTCAGTGACTGATGAGTTTATATTTTGTAAGCACAAATAAGGCATGCAAGATGCTTTAAGGTACAGATCTTCAGAATTGTACCAATGTTAAAAATTTTCCTTGCAAGATTTAGCATATAAAATGTAGCAGAGAGATAATGTTGATGTTTCACATGATGAGTAGAAGACCCACTTGCTTTAATAGAATGGAACTGAGATAGATAAGAAGTGTGATGGAGTAAGGGTAAGATTGAAGGAGAGATTGGGAGTGATGGCAAGACACTGTGGAATCTCATCCCAACTATTGCTTATTACAGTGCCTAAACCTGAAGACAATATCAGATACCCAGTCTCAAGTACTGATCTTCTCATTTTCTTCTGAAAATTCTACAAATTTAGCATTATACCCCAACATTCACTTTTTATATCAGCCCATGCCTTTCACCCAGATAACACATTCACCACCACCTCCACCCACTGCTTCCATGCATCAGTAAACTTCAAATAGTGCTTTTTGAACTGTGATTAGACCCTAACCATGTTGAGGCAGCTGCTTTTTTGGCTTTGCGAAAAAGTGCGCCAACTGTTATACAGAACAGGAAGCCTTGATCAATGTTATTTTCTTAGTGAGTTGCACAGAAACCATGTGTAGTGCAGTACATGATATAAAAGAGCACTCTGTAACTGGATTGAGCTGGGATACCTTGTGACCAATTAAGATCACAAATACAACAAAACGTAATACCCAGGCAGAGGTGCTGGGGAGTGGAGAGAGATAAGGGCATCCGGTTACTTGCTAACATGTGTATATGTTGCAATCACAGCTACTCACAGGGATGAGTTGTCTTTCACTTATATGCCTTTGCTTATATGTGACAGTAATTGTAGCATATCTATTAGTGGGTTAGAAATTATGCATGCGTCTATGAACAAAATGAACGTTTCGTTCATGACGATATCTGTTGTGAACGCATGTTTTTTTTTTTGTTTTTTTTTTTGGCAGGGATTGGGTAGGGCTGTAAGTAATCATAAGGCCCTGTACATAAGCATTGCTTGCCATTACAGCACTGGTCTGAGACAGAAGCAGAGTCCTGACTGATATTAGTTTTTATGCAAATGTAGCATTTGGAAACATAGAACATGATACAATTTGCATAGTCATTCAGTCAGAGCTGTTTATAAGTGCATAAATCCAGCCGGCTCTCCTCACAACAGCTACTGAGACAAAGCAAACATAGTGGCACAACAACAGGAAGGTTTAAAATGGGATTTGAATTTGATTGAGTGTGTATGTAGGGGGTGTGTGTGTGTGTAGGTGTTTGAGTACAAGTGTGTGTAGGCATAAAATGCCCATGCATGTATGAACACAAATAAAAGTACACTGCCAGCAGGGGTGGAAATGGGCTAGAACCAGAACCCCATGTTGTGAGTAAAAGCCAAGAAATAAAGGCGATCCAGCTCAGATTCTGAAAACCTAATAACTGCTATGCCGATGATACACAATTGTATATTTCACCAGAGGACAAAATTGAACTTAATAAGATAGAGGACAGTGTAAAGGCCATTAAAGACTGGTTGTCAAGTAACTTCCTCTTACTAAACTCGGACAAAACAGAAGTTCTTCTTCTTGGTCCAAAAGCTGCTAGGAATAATCTGCCTACGTTAACTCTTAATCTCAATAGTTTCTCAATTGCACCAGGCACATCGGTAAAAAGCCTTGGTGTCACGATCGATCCCGATCTGGCCTTTGATGAGCATATTACCAATTTTACCAGAATAGCTTTCCTCCACCTGCGTAACATCACTAAATTAAGAAATGCACTGTCGCTACAGGATGCAGAAACGTTAGTTCACGCCTTTATCACATCCAGGTTAGATTACTGTAACACTCTGCTTTCTGGTTGTTCCTGCCAAAACCTTAACAAGCTTCAGTTAGTCCAGAACGCTGCAGCCAGAGTTCTCACCAAAACCAGGAAATTTGACCACATTAGCCCAATTTTGTGTACCTTACATTGGTTGCCAGTTAAATTCCACATTGAGTACAAAATTCTTCTACTGACGTATAAAGCTTTGAATGGCCTTGCTCCGCAGTACCTCAGTGACCTTATTTTCTACTATCAACCAACATGCCCACTTAGATCACAAGGTGCGGGCTCATTATTAGTACCTAGAATTAATAAAGTTACGTCAGGGGGATGAGCCTTTTCATACAACGCCCCCCAGCTTTGGAATAACCTATCAGTCAGTGTTCGGGACTCAGACACAGCCTCCATCTTTAAGTCTAGGCTAAAACCTACCTGTTTAGTTGAGCCTTTGGTTAATTAGTTTTCCTGTTAGAAAAAGGCGCAGATCTGGGACAGAGAGTCCTATGGTAATCTGGGAATGTTGGTGCTGAACTATCTGTCCCCCTTATTCTCCCCCCGGATTCTCTGTAAAGCTGCTTTGTGACAACATCTGTTGTAAAAGGCGCTATATAAATAAATTTGACTTGACTAGTAAGTGTTTTTACAGGGAAACCACTTATAGTTGTTTTACTCTGTTCTAAAGTGTGTGCATGAAACAAAGTGTCTGTTGAACAAACCTTAATTTCAAAGCCCATTCAGCTTATGGAAGGTCAATGGAAGTGCTGCAGCAGGGTGTGCCCACCCGGTCTCCATGTTAACGACACATTAGTATCAGTATACCGTGTTGCAATATTGGTTGTTTTGACAAACATTTGATGATTTGCTTTGTAGTCGCCGCGTTGTTAGAAAGCTTGTTTGGATTTCTCTGTGTTAAATTGCTAGTTAACAGTAGTTTCAACAGAAGTAGCATTTACTTTTACGATTAAGGTTTTTATTGTGGTGTTAGTTTAAATTTTAGAAATGTCTATACCTCTTCACTTATGAACACATCCAGTGATGTTTTTAAACCATTCAGGCAGACTTTGTTACATTTTAATACAACCCCATTTCCAAAAAAGTTGGGACACAAAATGCAATGATGTACAAATCATTTAAACCCTATACAACCCAGGAACACATTCAAAAAAAGGCTGATAAAGTGTAATGCTTAAAAAAACACCTGGTGGTTAATTGGCAACAGGTATGAGCTGAGCATCCCAGAGAGGCTGAGTCTTTCGGAAGTGAAGATAAGGAGGAGTTCACCACTCAGTGAAAGACTGCATGATCAAATAGTGCAACAATTCGAGAATAACATTTCTCAACATAAAATAGCAACTATAAAATAGCAAGAACTTTTGCTTTTCATCATCTACAGTACATAATAACATTAAAAGATTCAGAGAATCTGGAGAAATCTCTGTATGTAAGGGACAAGGCCAAAAACCAGTATTTGCTGGCCGTGATCTTTGGGCCCTCAGGTGGCACTGAATTAAAAACAGACATGATTCTGTAGTGGAAATCACTGCATGGGTTCAGGAACACTTCTGAAAACCACTGTCTGTGAATACAGTTCGGCACCGAATCCACAAATGCTAATTAAAACTCTTAAACGCAAAGAAGAAAGCATATATAAACAGCCTTCTCTGTGCCCAAGCTCATTTAAAATGGACTGAGGTGAAGTGGACAAGTGTCCTGTTGTCCGACAAATCATTATCTGAATTTCTTTTTGGAAATCATGGACAATGTGTCCTCTGGGCTAAAGACCACTCAGCTTGTTATCAGTGCACAGTTCAAATGCCAGTATTCATATGGTTTAGTATTTGCATTAGTGCACATGGCATGGGTGACTGGCACATCTGTGAAGGCGCCATTAATGCTGAACTTTATATACATGTTTTGGCATGTATATACATGTTTTCTGCATGTATTACAACAGCATGGCTCTGTATTAAAAGAGTCCGGGTGCTAAACTGGCCTGCCTGCGGTCCAGACCTGTCACCACTGAAAACATTTGGCACGTTATAAAATGAAAAATACTTCAAAGGAGACCCCGAACTGTTGAGCAGCTAAAATCCTATGTTAATCAAGAATGGGAAAACATTTCACTTTTAAAACTACAGCAATTAGTTTCCTCAGTTCTCAGTTTTGGAAATGGGATTGTAAATGTTCCTGCACCCCAAATAAACGGTGTCTTCTGCATTTAAGAAAATTAATTTTAAAGATATTTAAGGAGGTTTAAGTTCCAAATAAACTATTTTTGTATGGGGTAATCTCTATTTTTAATCAAAGCATTAATGATTATAAGGTCTGTAACGAAAATGCCTTGGCTGAACAGAGACCTACATTTATTTACAATAATCAGTCATAAGTACTGTTGTTGGCAACATGCAGAATTTGAGAACTTTCAAATTCTTTCAGTTAAGGTCTGAGACCTTTGATGTAAGGTAAAGTTAAGGAAAAACAGTCCAGCTTTCAGCTATTGAAATGTCCTAGATTTAAACATGTAGTGGTTAAAAGTGGATAAAAGTGTGAAAACCATAAAAAGTTATTTTAGGAATTGTTTATGCAAAAAATAGTGTTCCCCCTGTAAAACCTGGACATTCTCATCCCTGACTACCAGTCAAAAGTTTAAATATATATTCCTAATTTTAAAAACATTTCGTTCTAAAGGCATATGTCTAAATGTAGGTAATTTTTTTTCTAAGACAGATATGAACAGTGAAGTACAAATTATTCCCTAAAACAAAAAAATTATTTAAATTCAAAAACTTATTTTTTATATGCCCCATAACAAGTGGTTTTCAGCAACATCAAAGTATCAGCATGTTTGTTATCTTATTTAGTCCTGTTAGAAAAGCATCTCAGAAGGCTTCTCATAAAGCTGCTTGACAAAAAGCAAAGAACAAGTGAAGCTGTATCAAGGCAAAGGGGGGCTAATTTTTAAAAAGAATGTAAAATAAAATGTAAAATGTTTTAATTTATGTATGTGTTTAGCATGTTGTGTCTCACCTCTGACTTGTTTACTCGGCCCTCATGGAAGGAGCAGTCATTGACATTATGGGTACACATATGGCGATATTTGCACCAGTGGCAGGGGAAGGAGCCATTCACACAGGAGAGACATCTGTAAAGACATACAGACAGGCAGGATTTGCTAATCAAAAGTTCTCAAAACTGCAACCATTACTTTAAATTGCAACAAGTATTTATTCAATCAAATCTCAGAGGGCTTGTATTTCCTCAAGAAATACAGAGGAGATATGGGAGGTAAAGGGAACACAATAACTAAAATACAGCAATCATTTAAAATCAATCAAATCTTGGCCATAATATTCTGTCAATTACCCTTTTGTCTTATTTTCTTTGTCTATGCTGTCACTTTCCATCTTAAAGTAGAGGACATGGAGAGAGGAAGGTGAGGGGTAACTTTAAAATATATTACAAAAAGACCAGAAAGAGGGTCACTCATTAAAATCTGAGATGAAATTATGTCAGGGTGGTGACCAGCAGGATGGAAAAAAACAATGCGCAAAAAGGTGCGCTTTTGATTGCAAGAGCATCCTTTGGGAGATAAAGCCAGAATAAAGTTCTTGTAGCAGTAACTAAACAGATAAAATGCATATATACATATATATACTTGTACAAACACAAAAAAGACAGTTAGCAAATTTGATCTATTTTATGTTCTGTACTTAATCAAAATTATCTGCATGTATAGCATAAAGAAACTGTCAGGTTTCTTTATTGACTTGCAGCAAGATGCATTTTACTATAAAACAGAAGGACACAGAGGTTCTTAAAAATGTTTCCAAAGTATTTGTACACAAGTATCAAAAAGTACAATGTCACAAAAATATAATTTAAGTTACACTGGCCATCTTACCTTGGTGGACAACAAGGCTCTGCAGTTAAGCAAACAAACAAACTTATTTGGATCTATTACTTACTAAAGATTCGGTTCGATTAAATAATTTAATGACCATCTAAAGCAACTGGTGCCTAGGGCAATAAAGTGTTGAACTGCAATCTAGACCCTCTAGTGGTGCAAAAAAAAAAAAGAAAAACAACAACAACAACAACAAAAGAACTAGATAAACAAATATTTTATTTATCTCAAGATCTTACAAAGCTGTGCCACAAGGTACAGCTTTTTAAAAAAAATACAACATGTATCGTAGCCTGTAGCTTCTACTTGGAAACCCAGTAAACTTTTCCTGTAGTCAGACATGGCCTCAGCATGCAGTAAGAAAGCCAATAAGCCAAAAGGAACAGGCCCATCCCTCTTCTTTCTCACCCTTACATAGGCTTACATTTAAATACACTGCAAGAGACTATACACACAGAGAGAGAGAGGCTGAAAAACACAGGATGACAGAGAGAAAAGAATTCACTAAAACATGTCAGAAATGCATATTTCTCACAACATTTGAATCTGCAATAGGTTCCCTCTACCCCTCTATGTAGTATTATGAAGTTTCACAGCCTCTCATTCTTAGGCAACAGTAGCTGATGAACTGTGATTTCAAGAACATTAGAAGAAAAAACATACTGAAACAATCAGACTACATCTGCCTCCAGTCATTCTCCAGAACAGATTTTCAGCCTTTTAAGTCTCTGTTTTATGCCTTTACCACATTCCTTTTGTGAGTGCAGTGCTAACAGCTGTTTGTTTTTCTCAAGTAGCCTGGAATAATAACATCAGGTCCCCAGACATGCTAACTATTGATCAGACTAAATGATCAAAGCAGTCTGGGGTAAGCTCTCTGATGTAACACCACAGTCCTTACAGCAAAGGGTCTCTCTCTCTCTCTCTCTCTCACTCACACACACACACACACACACACACACACAGACAGTATCTATATTATAATTATCAGTAATTATAGGACTCACAGGTTTTCATAGCCTTTTTAAAATATGACACCACTGTTTTGCTGGTACATTTCTGTTCCAACTTATTCTCAAACATCATGATGCATAATAGGGCTGCACAATTAATCATATTTTTGGTGGCTTTACAATATAAATGTCTATGATCATTAACACTGCAGTGACAGAGCAGAGCAGTCATGTTCCTCAAACCATGTGTACAGTGTGGCAGAGAGCATTTGCCTGCTAAAACAGGCCACTGCCAATGGGAATACCTGTGCCATGAAGGGGTGTACCTTGTCTGCAGCATTGTTTAGGTAGGTGGCACGTGTCAAACTGATGTCCATGTGAATGTCCAGACCCAGAGTTTCCCAGCAGAATTTTGCCCAGAACATCACACTCCCTTCATCCACTGGACTTCTTCCCACAGTGCATCATGATGCCATCACTTCCCCAGGTAAACAGAGCACACATACCCAGCCATTCATGTGACGTAAAAGAAAATGGGACTCATTGGACCAGGTGACCTTCTTCTGTAGCTCCAAAGTCTATCTCTGATGCTCCAATGCCCATTGTGGGTGCTTTCAATGGTGGACAGGAGTCGGCATGGGCACTATGACCAATCTGTGGGTATGCAGTCTCATACACAGTATGATCCACTGTGTGTTGCGACACATTCCTTCCATAACCATCATTAAAATTATTGTGACTTGTGTCACAGTAACCTGTCTGTTAGTTTGGACCAGACGGTTTGTGAGATGTTCCGATCCAGTCTCCTCGCCATACCGATTTGGCTTTTGTCAAAGACACTTAGGTCCATTTCTTCAGCATTTAACACAGGGGTGGGTGGGTCAAGACCAATTCCCTCACTCCCAGTCAGCTTCTTTACTGTCCAGCCACTGAAGATCAGGCTCAGGCCGTCAGTTGTTTCATTCCTCACAGTGAGTTTGCTGTCACGGTTTCATTTGGCATTTCGGCTCAACTTGGCATCGTTTCAAATTAAAAGCCCTCTGCAGAGTCTTGTAACTGCAACTTCATGACAGATCATAAAATTCTGAAGCAGCAGCTGCCGCTGGAAAATATTTGTATTTATTTATGAATGGAGAATGCAGAAATAGATTAACTATTGTAGATGTACCAAAATGGTAGGTGTGTTTAATAGAGTGGACAGTAAGTGTGCACAATGTTTAAAAACTCCCACTGCTGTGAGATCCATTTTTCACTTGTAGTAGTACAACACACACTAACATGCCACTATCATGTCAGTGTTACTGCAGTGCTGAGAATGATGCATCATCCAGATGATAACTGCTCAGTGGGTCCTGACCACTGATGAACAGGATAAATGGGAGCTACCAAATGTAGAGAAAGAGATGGACTACAATCTTGAATTGTCGAACTACAAAATACACCTTAATGCTAAGTAGACCTGATAAACTGGACAATGACAACTAAATAAAAGGTAGATGTACCTAACAAATAAAGTGACCAAAGACTGTATCATTATATCTAGTCAGAGACACTATTACAATTATATTTTAGCAGTTCCCATAGTCAGTGCATGTCCAACTTCATTTTTACACTGCATTTTATGTCTATACATACACATGCACAAGCAATCACATATGGATTACAGGTTAAATTTGTTGGTTTAAAGGGGAGAGAGGGGGAGAGAGGGGGGGAGAGAGAGATAGAGAATGCTCTTAACATCTGGAGTTGCAAAGGCACAAACTGCAACTTGTTGTCAACTTGGAAAAAGAAAGGAACTAAAAAAGAATTGAGAGAGAAATAAAAGAAAAAAAAGGAGCAAAACAGGCTGAAAGGGCAATGAGAGGAGGAAAACAAAGAGCTAGAGGGGAAATGAGGAGAGAGCATGTGTGTTTGTGTGTGTGTGTGTGTGTGTGTGATAAAGAGAGACAAAAAGAGAGAGAAGCATAACTGAGAGTAGTAAAATTGGATAGCTGATTCATGGATGCTCCAAGTCACTAAGGAAAGTCTCATCTCTGTTCTCCAAACAGGCAAAAACAACCAGACTCCCTAACGGGCAGTAAACACCCAACACATGTAGGGCTCTGACCTGTACATATACAAATTTTCTCAAATCTGAAATATCAGGCACAAAAGTGGAGGTGGGTAAACTTACGACTGGTGGACGCTACAGTTGTAGAAGACAAAATCCACATTTGCAAACTTCTTCCCTGTTTCTTTTGACTTCAGGTACAGCATCATCATACGCTTGTCACCTATGGCAAGGAAAGTTACATGCTACAGATACTGCAAAGAAATACACAAATGTACATTTGTATGTGTGCTCTCATGTCTCACCCTGGTTGCGTGTAATGTGGGCTATCTCGCGTGTGGTGGGGGACAGACAGTAAATGCGTCCTCCAATGATGTGTCCCTCAGTCTCTGTGTAATCCTCAAATGAGCAGTTTACTCCTGCAGACAGACTGGGCACATTCTGAGCCTGCAAGACGAGCTGGAGAGCAAACAGACCCCTTTAGCATTAGTATTGCTGTGAAGACCATCCAGCAGACACCTAGTATTATTGTGTTTATTCCAAAGTGTCTACATAAACATCTTCATTATAAGTAGGAGACATTCACAATTGTGCTAGTACATAAACAAACAAGCACAATGAAGCATGCACACACTATCGACCCGACTGATATATGAACTAGCCCATCTGCCAAACATTGAGGTCCCCCAGATTTATCGGTCTCACTAATAATTTTGGTGATAAAGCACTAATATTTAGTCGTTGCTTTATGATGCGACAGATGTGATGTGAAAAATTTACTTCTGTTAAAACAATACAGGCTGAGCTGGTTAATCTGAGCCAAGTAAAGACCTTTCTGTACTTCTATATTGATATGATATGTTTGAAAATATCATGATACTGTATTTTATCAGTAACTGCCTAGTAGTAATTTAACATATAGATAGCTGGTCCGGGAGGAAAAAAGACCTACATTATCTAAATAATAATTTAATGTTTAAATATTATTAGCTATTAAGTCAAAATGCAGTTTAAATGGTATGACTGCGATTGAAATTAAAATCTCATCCATATACAAATATCTGCATGGGGTTTAACACTCTGACCTCAGGAAACAGATCTGCCATTTTGCTCAATACATTAATGTTACATAATTTCAGAGCCTATATATTTTGTTTTGAGTCCTCTTTCATCCCATATAACATGTCCACTGGTTTTGTTTCTAAAGTTCTTATCATAACACAGACATGTTGTACAAGCATGCACATTTTGATTAGGTGGACATTGTTCTCCATTAAAATCAATTAAGTTAACAATAAAAAAGACATTTTATTTAGCCAGCGAAATGAGTTAGCTTACATAGTGTGAGTTTGTAACGTGCTGAATTAGGCTACTTACTTGATATTTTAGAGGTTTGCACATAATGGCTTCTGTGAGCCACACTAATCCAGGAACCCCTGCTCTGTGTTTCAATGCAGATTACAGCTTGATAATTTTATATAAACTTAATTCTGGACAGCTGATTAATTTTTATCATAATGTTTTACATTATTATTATTTTTTATTAGTCTGTGATCTTATAACAGTTATTATTGTTGCTAGGCAGTTATTTAACCATGGCTATCATGTCAGGTTTTAACTGGAACTTTGTTTGATGGTGAGCCAGTTCAGGTCAGTTTTAGACAGAATTTGATTGGATTCTTTAGCTGGGCTTAAAACTTGTTGCTGTGGGCCAGGTAGGGTTGGGATCAGATAGATGGATATCAGGTTGCATTTAGGTTCTGACCAAAATTTCAGGCCCATTTAAAGCTCTAACAGACATACATGTATGTGCATTTTCACAGATTTAGCTTTGAAAAAAACTATGAATTTTATCAGTAATTTTGCAGACAGGCCCTAAAACATACAAGCATGTAAATCTATACACAGAAAGGGAGACATAATAGCTGTTTTTCATCAACATGCAATACTCACCCAGAAGTCACACACACAAAAGTTACTGACCTGCACTTCAGACATGGTGACTGAAATATTGTTTGGGTGGACAGTGAGTCTGACACATTGCTCAATGCGGGAGGCAAACCGCTGGGGCTCATCAGCTCTTTCACATCGGTCCTTACGAGTGCAACTAGAACGAGACAAGAGTTAAATCAGTTTCTAAACAATAATAAAAAGCACTTTTAAGTAGATTTTCATGTAAAATGGTTTAATGTATCATTATATTACGTGAAATGATGAGATACTCACAGGTTGTGTAAGACACACCAGCCACAGTGGGGGTCTCCAGATCCAAGACACTCATTACAGCTAGAGTACTGCTCACAGCTCTCTACTGGCACCCTGCTCACCTACAGAGAGAGACACAGTCATTGGGACAGAGTGAGTTGTCAGAATCTGTAGAAGGTGGTGGTGGGAAGTGGGAAGTGTGATGCTGTTAAATGATATGGATTTCTGTGGGTACCGTGATAAGACCAAAAATGCTCAAGCACTTTATTATTGAACACATATTATTATTGCCCACGTAGTGGAACACACTGTAACATAAATATAAGTTCACAACCATCCCTGGTAGATGGCATAAAATAATCTGGATGCAAGAGCCAATGTAGATTTTTCTTCACCAGCTCTAGTAGAAAAGTATACAAAATCAGAAAGTATTCCAAACCCCAGACATACTGCAAAAGTTAAAAAGCCTTTATCAAAACCAAGATGTACACATATACTACTGTGCAAGTCACCCATCATTTATTTAAGTTCTATTCAAAATGGTCATTAAGTTATTCATTTTTCAGTATCAGGAAAAAAAACAGGAAACATATTTAACAGAAATTTACACAGAATATTCCATTTTTAGCTTGTCTACGGTTTGCCTTTATTACAGCTTCCTTTTTTGGGAGACTTGCTTTTAGTTTTTCACAGAAATCTGCAGGGATATTCTTCCACACCTCCACAGTTCAGGCTTATAAGTTGGTAGCATTTCCTGCTTCTCATGATCCAAGTAATCCAGAACACATTCAAAGATCTTGAGGTCTGGATTCTGGTGTTGCAGATATTTTCCTTTCAATCTTCTGTTCCTTATGCAAATGGTTTGTATTATATCTAATCTCTTCTGAAATGTATTCTATAAAATGAATAGCTTGTACCTACTGGCTGTTTTGACTGGAAATGAAATGAATTAAGTGTGGACTTTTGCACAGCACTGTACATATACAAAGACACACATTAATGGGTCTCATAATTCCAAAAACCTCCATGATAAACGGACACAGAACATCGTGTACCCTGCCCAGGAGAGGGTCACCGGGACCTACCCCTGGAGCCAGGCCTGGGGGTAGCGTCCCTCGGCGAGCGCCTGGTGGCCGGGCAGCCCACGTAACCTGGCCGGGCTCAGCCCGAAGAGGCAACGTGGGGGGACCATGTAGGCCCACCACCCGCAAGGTCCAGCATGGGGGAGTGGTGCAGTGCCGTACAGGCAGTGGGAGATTGCAGGGGGGCCCTTGGTCCCCTAGGCCCCTGCGGCAGAAACTGGCTCTTGGTACGTGGAATGTCACCTCACTGGGGGGGAAGGAGCCGGAGCTTGTGCGGGAGGTTGAGAGGTACCAACTAGATATAGTTGGGCTCACCTCCACCCACAGTATCGGCTCTGGAACCAAACTCCTGGATAGGGGTTGGTCCCTCTCCTACTCTGGGGTTGCACAAGGTGAGAGGCGCCGGGCGGGTGTGGGGATACTCACGAGTCCCCGGCTGGCGGCAGTGCAGTTGGAGTTTGTCCCGGTGGACGAGAGGGTCGCCTCAATGCGTATTAAAATCGCAGAGAGGAAAACTCTGACTGTTGTGTGTGCTTATGCACCAAACAACAGGTCGGAGTATTCGGCCTTCTTGGAGCAAGTGGGCGGGGTTCTGGAAAGGGTCCCGACTACAGACTCCATAGTCTTACTGGGAGACTTCAATGCTCATGTTGGCAATGACTGGGAGACCTGGAGAGGCGTGATTGGGAAGAACGGCCTGCCCGATCTAAACCCGAATGGTGAATTGTTATTGGACTTCTGTGCCAGGCATGGATTGTCCATAACGAACACCAAATTCAAACACAAGGATGTTCATAAGTGTACATGGTACCAGAGCTACTTGGGTCAAAGGTCAATGATTGACTTTGTTGTCATTTCATCTGACTTGGGACCATATGTTCTGGACACTCAGGTGAAGAGAGATGCTGAGCTGTCAACTGATCACCATCTGGTGGTGAGTTGGATCAGATGGCAGGGAAGACTGAGGGTTAGACCCAGTAGGCCCAAGCGAATAGTGAGGGTGTGCTGGGAACCACTGTCGGAGGCCCCTGTTCGGAATGATTTTAACTCCCACCTCCGGGAGAGCTTTTCTCATGTCCCGGAGGAGGTAGGGGACATAGAGTCTGAATGGACCCTGTTCAAAACCTCCATTGTGGAAGCTGCCAGGCGTAGCTGTGGCCAAAAGCTTGTTGGTGCCTGTCATGGCGGTAACCCAAGAACCCCCTGGTGGACACCGGTGGTGAGGGAGGCCGTCAAGCTGAAGAAAGAGCACTTTGAGGAACTCCATAATCCGGGTGACATGCCTCCCTCACGGGAGTCAGGGCCAGAGGCCTCTGCCGTGTCAAGCTCCATTTCCCTGGTGGAGGTCACTGAGGTAGTTGGCAAGCTCTTCAGTGGCAAGGCACCGGGGGTGGATGAGATTCGTCCGGAGATGCTTAAGGCTCTGGATATTGTGGGGCTGTCGTGGCTGACACGCCTCTGCAATAGTGCATGGACCTCGGGAACAGTACCCTTGGACTGGCAGACCGGGGTGGTGGTCCCTATTTTCAAGAAAGGGGACCGGAGGGTGTGTGCCAACTATCGGGGTATTACACTGCTCAGCCTCCCTGGGAAAGTCTATGCCAAGGTGCTGGAAAGGAGACTTCGACCGATAGTTGAACCTCAGATTGAGGAGGAACAATGCGGATTCCGTCCTGGCCGTGGAACAATGGACCAGCTTTTCACCCTCTCACGGATTGTTGAGGGGGCATGGGAGTTTGCCAACCCAGTCTACATGTGTTTTGTGGATTTGGAGAAGGCTTTTGACCGTGTTCCCCGAGATATCTTGTGGGAGGTCCTCCGGGAGTATGGGGTGCCGGGGTTACTACTCCAGGCCATTCAATCTCTGTACGCCCGGAGTGAGAGCTGTGTTCGTATACTCGGCATTAAGTCGGACTCTTTCAGTGTTAGCGTTGGACTCCGCCAGGGTTGTGCCCTGTCTCCACTCCTGTTTGTGATATTCATGGACAGGGTGTCAAGGCATAGCCGGGGTCAGGAGGGCATTATGTGTGGAGGCCGGAGGGTGGCGTCTCTGCTATTTGCAGATGATGTTGTTCTTTTAGCTGGATCACATGGATGCCTCCAGCGCACACTGGAGCGGTTTGCAGCTGAGTGTGAAGCGGTTGGTATGCGGATCAGCACCTCCAAGTCTGAGTCAATGGTCTTAGCCCGGAAAAGGATGGTATGCCCACTCCAGGTAAGGGAAAAGGACTTGCCCCAGGTGGAGGAGTTTAAGTATCTCGGGGTCTTGTTCACGAGTGATGGGAAGAAGGATCGTGAGATTGACCGCAGGCTGGGACAAGCGGCAGCAGTAATGCGGTCGCTGTACTGGACTGTAGTGGTGAAGAGGGAGCTGAGCCGTAAGGCGAAGCTCTCTGTTTACCGATCGGTCTACATCCCGACCCTCATCTATGGTCATGAGCTGTGGGTAATGACTGAAAGAATGAGATCACGAATACAAGCGGCAGAAATGAGCTTTCTTCGCAGGGTGGCGGGCTACACTCTATTTGATAGGGTGAGGAGCTCGGCCATCCGGGAGGAGCTCGGAGTAGAGCCGCTACTCCTCCGCATTGAGAGGAGCCAGCTGAGGTGGTTCGGGCATCTGATCCGGATGCCCCCTGCGCGCCTCGCGGTGGGGGTGTACCAGGCACGGCCTACCGGAATAAGACCCCGGGGTCGTCCTAGGACCCGCTGGAGGGATTATATCTCCAAGTTGGCCTGGGAGCGGCTTGGGGTCCCTGGGAATGAGCTGGAGGAAGTTGCGGGGGACAGGGTCACCTGGGATTCTCTGCTCTCCCAACTGCTACCGCGACCTTATCTGGACTAAGCGGTTAACGATGATGATGATGATGATAATTCCAGCCAACATCTCTGCAAACCAGAGCAGCAGGACTCAGGGCAGCATCTCTCTACTACTTTTCATGTCATGCAGTTTCAACTTTAATCTGACACAAGACATGTGGTTTTATATTTAATGTGTCTCCACCAATGTCCTCAAGCCATGTCCTATTTCTCTCTCAGGTGTTGCAGGTATTACAAGAAGAGGGCAGGCCACTTTTACATCTACTGTCAGAGATGAGGAGTGATCCACTTAATCGCCGTGCTGCATCATTAAATTGTATGAGCCCTGCAGAAGTGCAATTATAGGAAGGAAAGAGGATCGAGAGACAGAGAGCAAGAGAAAGAGAGAGAGAGAAGAAGAAACTGGAGAGCTGCCAACTGCTATAGGAGAGAGAGGTGATAGAGAGGACAAGAAGAAAGTGAGGACATGCATACAAGATGGAATAGTAAAACAGGAAAGGAGTAAAAGAAGACGAGAGGTAGGAAATGAGACAGAAAGGGTAAGAGAGAGTGATTGGAGAGTGAGAGGGAAAGGGTAAAAGTGTTTGTATGTGTATGTGTGTATGTGTACGTGTGTGTGTGTGTGTGTGTGTGTGTGTGTGTGTGTGTGTATGAAGGGGGGGGCAGTTCTGTTTTCACTTTCCTTCATGCGATCTGATAAGAGGCAAGGCACGGACAGCAGTGCAGATCTGGATAAATGGGTAAATGGGTCAGTGAGCAGAAGGATGACGATAATTTCACTCACAGATGGATGAGAGGATACTCCTTATTTTCAGCCTGACTGCCAAAGCTGTGAACCTGTACATGAGCAAGGGATATCCTGGTCTGATTGGGATCAAAGCTGATCCAACACATTTTAATGCTAAGCTGATTCAATTTCAATCCTTCAAAATATTTTTGAGCTCTATTTTGAGTTTTTATTCAGTCAATATTAAAACTTAAAACATCACATCTCTAGTTTAAATATTAAAATATAAAGTGTGCGTTCAAGCCTATTTTTTGCCATGCTTCTAGAAGCATGTAGGAAAAAAAAATGTATGTATGGAAGCAAAAGCATCGCAAAAAATAATCAGCTTCACCAGCTGTGCAACATATTCAGATACACAAGTAAAATCTAAACTGGTAGCTAATGTTAACATGTGTGTTTAGCAATTCTTTCCGACCAATTAGTAGTCTGTAGT